ATTACTTTTTGAAATAGAACAAAATGAGAAAAGAAGTTCAAACTTTATCACATTTCCTCCTCCTTACCTTCCCCTCCCTCCTTTATTTTTTTCATTAGTATGTCACACCTCAGGTTCCTATGGTCTCTCTTTTCTGTGACAGCCTTCAATATATCTTACGGCAGGTGTACTTTTCTATTTCTCACAAAAATCCACCTAGACTTACTTACTGGCTTACTTATTTACTTACTTATTTATTACATTTATTTGCCACCTATCTTGCTGTGGGCCTCCTCTAGGCAGCTTACAATAATGAAAAGAAGGAAAATGAAAAGAATGTAAACAGAACAGAAGTAAAATAATAAAACCATAAAATAAACAATGACAAAGGAATACAGGGAAATAATACATCGATATGAAAACCATAAAGATGGATGGGTGGAGAGCAGAGACAAGCAGTGGGAAGGTGGAGTCTGCCATCGATCTACCTCATGTGTTAAACTCCCATTTGGTCCCAAAGCCAATTGGCAGAATCATGTCTTAAATTAAGGTTTTTGTGAAAGGACAGGAGGGTGTGGATGGATTTTACAGGATTAAAAGGTTCCAAAGGGTAGGTGCTGCAGCAGAGAAGACTCCTCTTATGGATCCCGATAATCAGAGATCTTTGAACAACGGGATCCAAAATAGGCGCTCTCTGCTGGCACAAGCAGAACAGACTTGTCCTAACAGGATAAGGCAGTTCATCAGAGAGCCTGGACCTATGCCCTTAAGGACTTTAATGGTCATAACTAACACCTTGAACTGCAGTCAGAAGCACATTGGTAGCCAGTGATGTTTTTGGAACACAGATGGATCACCCTAGAGGAACCAAAGACTACTGCTGCTGCTGCACTATGCACCAGCTAAAGCTTTTGAGCAGACCTCAAGGGTAGCTTCATGTAGATGGAGTAGTCCAGATGAGAGATAACCAGGGCTTGAGTAACAAATCACAAGGAGTCATGATCCAGGAAAAGTCACAACTGGTGAAGAAACTGAAGCCATGCAAAAGCTCCCGTGCTTACACCTGCCGTCTGTTCTTCGAGCTGGAGTTGTAACTTCAAGAGAACCCCCAGCTTGCAAACTGGGTTTGAATAGATAACACAGAACTAAGAATGAAAAATTCTCACATCCTGGAGTTCCCTGTACCCAAAGCCCATCAGTTTTGCTAGGGTTATATAGGAAACATGGTATAAGAATTCATTCAAAATGTTATATTTCACAACTGTGTATTTTTGGTTTAAAAAAACCAAAGAATTAGTTTTCAATCAGTTCTTCAAGATGGTCAGTAGCCCTTTAATGAGGCAAATAAGGATTCTGTCACAATTTAGAGAGGAGCGAGTAAATCAGTTTCTTTTTTTTTTAAAGAAATTTTATTGAATTTATAAACATATATATATTTATATTTTCATTAATATCGGATGTGCAGTGTTTTTAACGATATACAAAATATATTTCTGGTGTCATTTAGGTTACTTTTTGCTTTTATTTAACACACCTTTTAGTTATAAGCTCTTCTGGTGGCTGGGTTTTCTCTTTCCAATATTGTGCGTAGGCCAATCTAGCAGCTGTAATTATATGTATTATTAAATGAATCTTTTCCTTTCCATATGGCTTCTTTACTATTCCCAGGAGAAATATTTCTGGTGTCAATTCAATATCTTCCCCAATTATTTCTTGTAACCATCCCCTGATCTTACTCCAATATCCTTTCGCTTCAGGGCATGTCCACCACATGTGAAAGAAGGTGCCTTGACCATAGCCACATTTCCAGCAGTTCAGGTGTATGTTATGATACATCTTTGCTAGCCTAGCCGTGGCTAAATACCACCTGTGAAGCATCTTATAATGGTTTTCCTTATATGTCGCGGCTCTGGTCAATTTAAAGTTCTTATTCCATGCCTCTTCCCATTCATTAAAATGTATGTCATGTCCAATATTTTTCTCCCATGCACTCATTTTATTCTTTGTTATATCCTCAGCTCTGTCTTCATCTAATAGATAATTGTATAATTTAGACAGGATCTTTTTACCTGTTCCCATCAGGACTTTATCCAACCCATTATATCCTAGTTCTAAGCCACATTGTTCTTTATCTTTCTGATACCTGGATTTTATTTGTAGATAGGTCCACCAGTCTAAATTTACTCCTTGCTCTCTCAAGGCATCGTTTGATTTAAGATTTCCTCCTTCATCTAAAATGTCTTTATAACTGCATATTTTCTCCATTCCCCATCTATTGGGATAGATCAGGGCCTCCATCGTGGAGAGCCATCTTGGGACTTTTTTATAATATCTCTGCCTAATTCCAGTCCATGTTTGTATCAATGAATCTCTAATTTTATGTCTATGAAAATATGTTTTCTTTTTCTTCTCTGTGTCCCATAGGTATGCATGCCACCCTTTTTGTAGACCGTGGCCTTCTAGGGTTAAAATCCTCTTATTTTCCAGGGTGGCCCAGTCCCTTATCCAGACTAGCTTAGCTGCCCTATAATATGTTTCCCAATTGGGAAGTCCAAATCCTCCTATATCTCTTTTACCCCTTAAAATTTTAAGAGAGAACCTCGGCTTTTTCCCCTCCCATACAAATTCCCTGATAATTTTATTTAATTCTGAGAAATTTTTTTTATCTAAATTCACTGGTATATTTTGATATAAAAATAGTACTTTGGGGAGGATGTTCATCTTAATCGCAGCTATCTTGCCCAAAAGTGACAATTTTATTTTCTTCCATCTATCTAGGTCTTGTTTCATTTTCCTAATTAAAGGGGTATAATTATCATCTTTTAAGGACGAACACCTTGTAGCTATCCAAATTCCTAGATACTTAATTTTTTTAACAACCTATAGTCCCAACAATTCTTCTATCTCTTTCTTCCGAACCTCGGTTATATTCTTGGTCAATATTTTGCTTTTAGTTTTGTTCAATTTAAAGCCTGCCACCTCTCCGTATCTGCCCAATTCCTCTAGCACTTTTTGTCCCGATTCTATAGGGTCTTCTAAGATTAAGGCTACATCGTCCCCAAATGCTTGAGTTTTGTAAACCTCTTTCCTAATCTTTAAACCTTTTATTTCCTCGTTATTTCTAATTTTCCATAGCAGGACTTCTAGAGCCAAAATAAACAATAATGGTGACAGGGGGCATCCTTGCTTAACCCCCTTCTAATCTGGAATGTTTTTGTCCTGTCTCTGTTTACTAAAATACTCACCTTTTGATTATCGTAAATAGATTTTATCATCTTTTCAAAATTTGTTCCGAATCCCATTACCTCAATTTGTTTAACCATAAATTTCCAATTTAAATTATCGAATGCCTTTTGGGCATCTACAAAAAGGCCATCTGTTTTTCAGGGTGTTCTTCATAATATTCTAGGATATCCAACACAGTTCTCAAATTATCCCTAATTTGCCTCCCCAGGAGGAATCCATTTTGATCTTTATGTATCTAAGTGTTTAGTATTTTTTTGGTTCTTTCCGCCATTATGCTCATAAATAGCTTATAGTCAGTATTTAGGAGGGAAATTGGTCTATAATTCTGAATTTGTTTTAGGTCGGCACCTTCTTTTGGCACTAGTGTGACATGCGCTTCCTTCCACAACTCTGGGATTTTAGAACCCATCAATACATCATTGAAAATTTCCACTAATTTTGGTTATAATATTTCTTCTAGTTTTTTGTATATTTCCCCTGGGAATCCGTCCGGGCCTGGCGATTTATTATTTTTAAGTTTAGAGAGAACTGTTTTTAGTTCTTCAGCTGTTATCTTTCTATTAAGCATTTCTATCTCTTCCTCTGTTATTCGCGGAAGCTCTGCGTTTGCCAAATATTGCTCTATTTTTCCTTCTGAAACCTCCTCTTCTTTATATAGAGTCTCATAAAACTCCCTAGCTCTTTCTAGTTTACCCTCTTCTTTGTTCAATAGCTTCCCCTTAGAGTCTTCTAATATATGAATTGTCCCCTTTTCGTTTTCCTTTTTTAATTTATAGGCTAGCCACCTGCCCGACTTGTTGGCATTCTCAAAATAATACTGTTTCGTTCTTTTTTATTTTTTGAGCTAGCTCCTCTTGGTCAATGATGTTCAGTTTGTGTTTCCACATCAGCCAACTTTCTTTAGCTGTTTCATCTCCCGGGTTTTCTTGGAGTTTTCTTTCTGCTTCTCCTAAGTGGTTTAAATAGTCTTCCAGGATCTTTCTTTTTTCCTTACTTTTGTATGCACTGTATGATATCACAACCCCTCTTAAGTAGGCCTTCATTGCATCCCATACTATTGCACGAGGTGTTCCTTGATTTTCATTTTCCTTGAAAAAGGACTTTACTTCTTCTTTAAGTGTTTTTGCACATTCTTTATCACTCAATAGTTTGGCATTAAATCTCCATCTCTGTTGTTTCTTTCTCTTTACACTCTTCCACCTTATTTCTAAGGGGTTATGATCTGCCCAGGTGCTTGGGTTGATTTCTGCCATTCCTATTTCTAATCCAAGCTTTCTGCTGACCCATGCCATGTCTATTCTGGACCACGACTTTTGTGGGTTTGAATAAAATGTATATTATCTGTCATTTGGGTGTAGAGTTCGCCATATATCAATTAAATTCAGTTCGTCCGCTAAATCATAGAAAGCTCTCGGTAAATTTGCCCTTTTATTTTTCTTAGTTTTATTGCTTTTATAATCTTTATCCAAGTCTACAATACCTTTAAAATCATCTATTATACAAATTTCATTATATTTCATTTTTCCTAATTGCTCGTGAAGTTTCTTAAAATATTCTCCCTGTTTTTTATTTGGAACATATATACCTACTAACAGTATTTTGGAGTTCCCTCTCCTAATCTCAATCATAAGAGTTCTTCCCTTTGTATCATTAAACTTTAGCTTTGCTTCAATTCCTTTCTTTACGTAGATTACCACCCCACTCTTCTTTTTTTCTGATAGTGAAGTGAATGTTTTAACAGGGAGCCTGTTCCTCCTTGTGTAATTTGTCTGTACTCTGTATACGTCATCTAATTCTCTAATTATCTCTTGCTTATCTTGTTGGAGTACGTCTGCAATCAACTCTGCCATCTTCTCTTCCAGGTCCTCCTCTTTGTCTTTGGCGATATTTTGGAAACACAGGTAAAAGGACGCCCGGTCCATCTCCAATTGTATTATCGAATCCTCTAGCTCTCTATTTTGCATTGTGAGTGTTTGGTCCACAGTGTCTAATTTCTTCTCGGTTTGTTCTATTCTTGTTTTACTTTCTGAATTCTTTGTTCGTTGTTAAATATTGAGACTTGAATCTCATTCATCTTCTGGTCCAGTGCATGGATATCTATTTTTAATTCGGCATGGTTGTTTGACATTTTTTCCTGCATGGCCATCATAGTTTCTTGGATTAAGGTCAATGATGATTGAATAGTTTGTATTGTTGGTGTTGCTATGTATTTTTCCATTTTTGCCAGTCCTTCCATTGATTTCAGTCCTACTAACATACAATGATTTTCTAACCTCTCTTAATAGATGCTTAGATGCTATTAATAATATATGATACCACACTACTATCAAAATAATGCAATACTTATAATCTAAAACTTAATTTTCTATATCCAACTTAATTCCTGATAATCTATATATAAATTAATATGAATAAATACTATAAATACTATAAATACTATAGATACTATAGATACTATAGATAGGAGTACATACAATTTTAAATAGATGAATGAGTCTAAAAGCTAAATATGATATTGAATTTAAAGATATATACTATATATGCCAAATCTAGAAATTAATTGATGAAGGAGTTAATAATTCTTATTAATAATTATATTTAAACAATCAGGATATTGATATTGAAGAAAAGGTTGTCAAAGAGTATTAAAGTTGTTGTTTTTTCCTCTCTCTCCTTTTGGAATGTAAACTATTCTTTATTACTCAACCTCCGATTTTCTCCAGGCTTCTTTTTTCACCAAGTCCATTAATCAAAGTCAGCACTCTATAGTATTTCTTGCTGCTAGACTGTCCATGAGTCAGCCATTTCAATTGTTCCTCAGTCAAGTCTCTATAATGACTGTGCTTCCTGCTCCCTGGAACAGTCAAGCACGATCCACCCAGCTTCAGCCTCCAATAGATCTACTGCTATAGTCAACAAAAGGAAAGAAATATCTTCTGAGTTCTTTTTTCTTCTCACCGATCTTCTCTTTGCGCATGTGATTTCGACACATCACCTCTTTTATTTTCCTTGCCGGCTTGTCGGGCACTATATCTTTTCGGTCTGTTCTCTGCTTACAGTCGCTGCTCTTTTCCTCTTCGAGCCTTTCACACCCGACTCCACCGACCCCTCTTTCTGATGTCAAATTTCACATAGGCAGGGAAGGTGTGTTAGTCCGATTTCAACACTGCAGCCTCTGATCTTCCTTGCTTCCTATCTGGTTGCTGGTTACCACAGCTTCGGGTCTGCCATTAATTGGCTGACTCACATGTATTGGATTGACAGAGCCACCCGGTCTTGCGATCAGCGTTTGTACTCCGTGTTCACACTCACCCAGCTCACTCTCTTGTCCGTGGGGCTCTCCAGGCTCCACGCCCCCCAAAACACGGTGACTAGTGGTGTTGAGGAGCAGCAGTCACTCACTCAATGCCATGTTGCCACGGATCGTCAACCGGAAGTCCAAGTAAATCAGTTTCATTTCTTTGTCAGCTGTTCCTTTCTGTTCAAATTGGGCCTCAGAATAATAATGTAACATTTGGGGGAAAAGATGCAACCCAGTAATCCAGCTGCAGAAGCCAAAATGGAAAAGATTTCAAAAGCTACCATGTATTTTCCCTTGGTGCTCAGATAGGTGGGAAGAAAGGATATCCAGACACTACAAAAGACCAACATGCTGAAGGTGATAAATTTGGCTTCATTAAAGCTGTCAGGTAACTTCCTAGCTAGGAAGGATACTGAGAAGCTGACAACAGTCAAGAATCCCAAGAAACCAAGAACAATATAAAACATAGTGGTTGAACCTTCTTTACATTCTAGGACAATTTCTTCAGCCATGGAGTGCATGTCAGAATCTGGGAATGGGGGGAAAATTGCCAACCACACTGCACAAATGGAGAATTGTGTCAAAGAGCATGAAAGAACTATAGCGTTGGCCAGCCTTTTCCCCACCCATTTCCTCATTTTGGATCCGGGCTTGGTGGCCCTGAAAGCAAGGACCACTATGATTGTTTTCCCCAATATACAAGAAAGAGCTACAGAGAAGATGATGCCAAAAGAAGTTTGTCGCATGAGACATTTCACCTTATCTGGTTGCCCAATGAAGAGCAAAGTGCAAAGGAAGGAGAGGAGGAGAGCAATGAGAAGAATGTAGGTGAGGTTCTGGTTGTTGGCTCTGACAATGGGGGTGTCCCGATGCTTAATGAAGATTCCCAGGACCATAACTGAGATGAAAGAAAAGAAGGAAGCAATAGCTGTCAAGCTAATTCCCAGAGTCTCTTCATGAGACAAAAATGTGATGTGTTTTGGAATACAAAGGTTGTGAGCTTGGTTTGGGTACCAATCTTCTGAACATGGGAAACAGTCATCTGCATCTGGAAAAGAAATTATTGCAGTCAAGTGTTTAATGTTATAGACAACAACCCATTACCTGATTGGTCATCATTTCAGAGATATTTCCTTTCCTGACAGTGAGCATTTGAAAATTAACTTCCTTCCTTCCTTCCTTCCTTCCTTCCTTCCTTCCTTCCTTCCTTCCTTCCTTCCTTCCTTCCTCCCTCCCTCCCTCCCTCCCTTCCCTTCCCTTCCCTTCCCTTCCCTTCCCTTCCCTTCCCTCCCTCATCCATCCATCCATCCATCCATCCATCCATCCCTGATACATGAGGCCCTGGTGTCCTTGAGATTTTTCTATGCTAACCCCTTTTGCAAGACGTATTCAATTGGTACAACTCCAGTGAGGTTGGGGAGTTATTTCATAGGATCTGCTTTATGGGCCTGCCAAATCCCTCACTATCCAACTAGAGTTTGGATAGAATTGAATAGGGTCAGGCCCATGTAACTTTTTTCATCCCATTGAACCAGCCATTCTCTGTACTTCATGGAGGATTTGAGAGAGTTGAAAAGAGTCAAGAGACATCTAGAGCATTGCTGGAGAAAGATGAGGGATGAATCAGAACAATAACAAGATAGAGTCACTATTAAGTGTGTATCATTTTTCAAAAAGGTATTGCTGAACACAAACAATTCATAACTTTGGTTCTGTCTCCCACCTGCCCTTTTTAGGGAAGGTCGTTGAGGTGCAGTTCCAGAAGATCCTTGATTAAATGAATTATTTGGATCTGTTTCTGTCAGATTTCAGGGCTGGATATGGGGTGGAAATGGCCTTGGTCATTCTTTTGGATGATCTCTGGAGGGAATGGGTAGGGATAGTACATCCATCCTGGCTCTTCTTGATCATGGTAGGATTTGAGCTTGCTTTGGGAATTGTGAGAGGGAAAAAACTTCTGATCTGGTTCACCCCCTCCCTCTTTGACCAGTTCCAAAGGGAGCAAGAGGTCCAGCCTGCAACACCAACTATGGGGTGCTATATGACTAGGTGCTTTCTCTGTATCTTTTTAGTATCTATATGAAGGTGCTCAGTGACTTCATTTGTCATCACAAATAAAGTGTATCATCAGCATGCTGAGGATACTCAAGTGAATATCTTCCTCTTGGGCAAAGTAACTGATGCTGTGCATCTTCCTTCATAGCATTAGGATGTTGTGGGGGATTAGATGAAGAAAAACAGGCTTCAATTGAACCCTGGTTATTTTGAGTGGCTATGAGATTGAAGGCTCTTCTGTATCCAGGGGTTGCCCATTTTTGTTCTGGATAGTATTGCACTGCCCCGGCAGACCTATTGTGTAATTTGGGGATTCTCCTGGACTCATGATTTCTGCTTGAGGAGCAGGTGTCAGTCATGTTTAGAAAAGCCTTCACTGAACTTCATCTTCTAAGCAATAGCACTTAGAATTATATACCACTTCATAGTGCTTTGCAGCTCTCTCTAAGCAGTTTACAGGGTCATCGTATTGCATATCCTTATTTTACCAACCTCAGAAGGATGGAAGTCTGAGTCAACCTTGAGCTGGTGAGAATCAGCAGTCAACAGAATTAGCCTGAAATCCTGCATTCTAACCACTGTGCCACCACGGCTCTTATGCACCAGTTGTGGCCTTTTCATCCCTACTCTCTATAACTTGTATCTTGGTCATCTCCCATAGGCAGTGGTGAGATTCAACCAGTTCAGGATGGTTTGGGTGAACTGATTGTTAAATTGCTGGCTGGCCCAGCCCCTTCCTGCTCCGCTCCTTCCAGGAGTCCCCATGTGCCCCATTTCGGCTCCAAGGTAAGTATAGGAAAGGTCCAAAATGGGGCATGGGTGTGCAGCCCATTTTTGCTCCCAGGAGGCTGCAGGTCGGCCTACTAGGCCCAAAATGGGCCGTGGGGGCATCCCCAGCCTGTTTTTGTTCTCAAGGGGGTGCAGGAGGCCACGTGCTGCCTGTCACACCTCCCGACCATGCCCACCATGGCCATTCTAACATTCTGGCTAGTCATTAGGATAGGGAACCGGTTGTTAAATTATTTGAATCCCACCATTGCGCATGTGGATTGTTGCAATGCAATCTATATGGGGCTACTCTTGAAGAGGCTGTAGCAGGTGCAGAATGTAGCATCACAAACAATATTGTATACCCCTAGGGTTCCACATATAGTACCTCTGCTATACAAACTCCAATTTTTCTCAGTTGCTTTTGTGTCCAATTCAAGGTATTTGCTATTACCTTGAAAATCCTTTTGCTGATTACTTGAGAATCCATCATCCCCACTATATGATCCCATCCCACCTAATCGGGCAGGGAGGGTATATTGCAGATTCTGTCATTTAAGGAATTTTGGCTGGCAGGTCGCAGGTAAAAAGCCTTTTCTGCTGTTGCTCCTGCTCTGTGGAACACCTTACTCTGAGCTGTGAGGTCGGTCCTTGGACTTCATCAGCATTGGAGTTGAAGACTGATATGCAACCCTGGGTGTCATGAGGGCATTCTTTTCACCTTCATATTTTAACATTTAATGCTGCAATCCTACTTTTAAATTTTGTTTTTAACTTTATTCTTTATTCAACCAAGAG